AGCTCTCCTGGGCTAGGGAAGGGGAAAATCTTCCAGGAATCACTATCCAGTAGTTGCTGCTGAAAAATACATGTGTATGGTCAGGGATTGAGTTTGATTGCAATACCTTCCATTATCTCATTGCGTGCAAACATTGACACAGTAGGTTGACTGACAAAGGATGACCACTTGGGTGAGGTACTTGGGCCAGTACCTGTGAAAACATACCCCAGCACAAGTCGATGATATCAGGAGAGGGGAAAGTCTGAAGGGAGAAATCAGATCTGCTTATCACGTTTACCTTCTTTTTTATGAAGACTTTTTAGGATCAGCACATTTCATTGTGAAACAGTTGCTATTTATTGAGGGTAGTTAGGGTGAGGAGCATTGAATAGACTGGGGCATGCAAAATGTAAAGACAGAAGAGTATAATCAAAGAACATGAAATCTTAACAAACTATATGATAAACTGAAATATTTCTGCTTCTGTGTGTTTTGTTTGAAAGAAGAGAGAGGGATCTAATTTGCAGATTTTTTCAATAGGAATTCTTTATAAAGAAACACTGTCTGGGACGCTTTATCCATGGAACCCACGTCAATCCATGGGATCTCCGCTCTGACATGATCGAGTTCCAGAGGGAAGTTCCTGTGGGTTTCTAAGAATTCTAATAGGATTCCTGTTAAGGAATTCCTTGAAGAAATACTGCAAGTCAGATCTGTGTATCATTCATTTAATCTACAGTGGTTCAGTCAACACACAATGTTCAGACAGTTCGATTGACTATTATCATTGAGATCTGATGATTGCTAGTTGGTGTGCAAAAACATTCTTTATTTCACTTCAAAAAACAAAATGTTTTAAAGCCCACAGATGAAGACAGAGCAGAACTGATATTCCAGTGTAAGTCATCTCTAAGGAAATGTTGGTGCTTTATTTTAATAGGTTATATTTTGCATAAATATATTGTGTAAAAACCCCCCACTAATATTGTATGTTTTTGTTTAGGCTTATTAAGAATGTTAGCAACCATTGTGAAGTTCTGGATATGTAGTTTCAGATTGTGCAGATGACAAGAAAGACAAACTGTCTTTCAGATGAGATGTAAAACCAAAGTACTTTGCTTAAATAGCAATCCCAGTAAAATCCCCAGCGCCCTTCAGGGACTCTACTCTGAAAGTTGATTACATTTCCTAATATACAACAAATTAACTGCTAAAGTAGTTTGTGCACACTGATACGAAAAGAACAAAACCTAAAGTTGGTAGTGTATTTAGATTCTAGCTAGCTTGTACTGTTCTTCTCATTGTAATAGACCTGAGTTTGTAACTAGTTTGGGTTCCTGTATCCTCTTCAGTCATTTGGCATAGATAAATGCAGAGCCTTGTTGGTGGTGTGTCAATTTGAAGGGAAGATGTATGTGGTAATGAGTTTCTATTCTTTTAGGAGGCTGGATGTTTCTGAAAACATTACTTCCAGATGAGTTAAATAACATCAGTGTACATTTCGTGTCATTCACCCTAATAGTAAACTCAACCCATTTGACCCCAGCACTCTGAAAGACCAAGCACTGGAAAGACCAATTTCACAAAGATTAGGTAGCAGAGAAATGAGTGTTAACTTCTATCAACATGCAAAAAATAATAACTTTCAAGTAACTGTAATATCTCAGTAGAAATCTTTATTAGTGATCTGACCTCTGATCAGTTCACATCCCTCCTCTGGCTTAATTCAATTACCACTCAGCAGATATTTGCATTGTTTCTATCTTGTGTAAGTACTTGTAAAATTGTGTTCTGTTAGAAGTGTTTTGAATATCATGTAACAATAAAGGGCTTTAATATGTGTTATTTCTTTGGCAGGATTTTTTCAACAAGGAATCTGACTCGCACAAAAAGGAAAAGTTCTTCTTCTAAAGTATGTCTTTCTGATCAGCAAGAACTTCAATCCAACATGATCTATGTCTGGAGAAGAATTCCAATGGGTCAACAAGAATTCTAACAATTAAAAGAAATTGTCTTTATTAAGGAATCCCATTAAGAAATATCACAAATTGAAATATTTAAAAGGGAGTTTGATGAATATTTGATAGGCAGGAGTGTCAAGGGATGTGGTGGAAGGTTGAGGAAATTATATTAAATTGAACATTATAATAATAATAATAATCCTTGCATTTGATATAGTGCATAATCACATTGTGGAGATGCATTTCACAGGATATTCTGCAAAGTAAAGTGACTGTGTGTGTGTGTCTTGACCTAATAAAATGGTGTAACACGCTGAATGGCTTTATCCTGTTCCTTTTTTCTTATGGTCTTAAGACTCCAAAGGTCTTGAAAAATCATTGCTTTGCCAGCACAGTTTGGCACATTTTATGTACAAATATCTGATAAGATGTTATCAGAATTCAATCATGATTTTTTTTGCAGTAGGCTGAGTGTATTGATTGGTTGGATGTTATTTTTATTGCATTCAATTTTATGTAATTATTGATGATGCAAAAAAAAAATGCTTTTATTTGAATTCCTATTGACCGGTTAACACTGTGTTAAGTTTGAAAATAAGTCCATAGCCTTTATGATTAGTGGTTTACATGCTCCATGTGAAATATATTGTATTTAGTACATATATACTGCAAACAGTTACAAGGACACATTCCTATTGAATATTTTTGTCTCATAGTGTGGTATTTAAGAATAACCTCTTATCTCCTAAGACTGGAATGCCTGATTTTAGCAGTTTTGTTCTGTAACTGGTGCAGTGGCTCTGTCATGACCATTAAGCTCTACCTTGCTCTTTCTCACGTCGAGATTTGTGCTATTTTTATTGTTCCTGCACAGCCATAAACACAACGGAAATTGTGCCTATAAACAACTGGGGGAAAAGAAACATGCAGAATGGGTTCCCTTCAAAGGCTCTCAAGGCAAAGAGAAAATCAGATTGAATAATGTTATCTGCATATTTTTCCCCAACAGGTGTTTTTTGGATAAATGTGGCTGGTACTGGTGGTGTAACTTCTGTTTGAGTTGTAAAATTAAATCTGATTAATTGTTACTTCAATCGTTATTCCTCATCCTTGCCTCTCCCAGCCCTCCCCACTGAATGCAACATTCTTCCCAATGTGCCTTTTCCCAGCTGTTCCTTGTTCTTCGGGGAAACGGTTAAGATGTAGTAAACTTTTTTTTCGATCGTGGTATTGAAACGGTGGAAAAGTCCAGTCTCGGTGGCGAGGAGTAGAGGGGGAGGGGGTGTGGGGGGACTGTGTTAAAAGTGATGGGGGTGGGGGGGGTTTGCTGCTCCGGCTGTTTGCTCTGTGGTCTGAAAGGTCGGGGCTGACAGTTCCCCTGGTGTGTTGGGAAGTGAAAACCAGCGAAGATCTCACCGAATATTTGCTTTGCGTGTTCCACAATGGCATTCCCCTAATGAATGCTGCCTTTGTGCACTTTACTGCATACCGAGTATCATTTGGAGAGAAATAAACGACTTCACCCACCAGCCGAAGGTGGAGAACAGGACTGTTCTCGCCGAGAAACAGGTAACAAAAAAAAACATATTAGGAGTTTACTGAAGGGGATTCACTTGAGCCTCATCGTAACCAATCCGTAAATCTGAGTCTCCGCCGTGTTGTCATCCGTAAAGAAGGTACTTATGTCAAAGGAATTGATAGATCTCCCATAGGTATGCAATAACTAAGCTCGGCTGCTTTCTGGAGATCAGTATTTTTCTGCATATTTCCTCCCTGTGTGGTTCCTGCATTGCATATTTATATATGCATTATGCGTATTATACGTTCTACATATTTAGCGTTGACAATGATACGAGGGATGAATGCAATTTTCTCCCCAACTCTATGAAAACTAGCCAGTGTGCATACGTGAGAATATCTGGTATCCTCACATCTGCACATTCGGATGCAAAGTTTACATCTCTGACCATCAGAACTTTTAACTTTGCAAATCCTACAGTACACTTAAGAGCAGAACAGGGCGCAGGAACACGCCCTCCAACACCCAACACAAAACCTGCGAATCCTCGAAAGCATGAAGCCGGATCAGTAAAGGCATTGGACATATTATAACACTTGATGATTAGTATCAAACCGTTAAGATTTCCTAAATGTTCAGTCAACACTTGTTGCACTGTTATTGGGGCTCTCTTGACACTTTCAGTCCCCCAGCATACAGTTAACAGAATGCTCTATTCTCCAGCTGTTAATGTGTGCCTCTCTTTTGGTAGGTTACAGCCCTTAAATGTTTTATTGATCAAGTGCCTTACCATAAAACGTTCATTTTATTACCCACGGGTATCGGTCAAAGCAAACCCACGCTGCGCCTTTTCACACACACACACACAACATTTCTTTCCAACAGGTGAGTTAGTTCCCTTAATTTATTTTTAAAGATAACTTGGGGAAGGAAAAGAAAATTGAACACTTACAGACACTTCTGCAGAAAAGAAAAGCGTAAAGCTATGAAGTGTGTCACAGTCATTTACACAATACATGTGAACAACCTCAAATTAGGTTACAAATAACCCCAGTCTTATGTACAATATTGATAAAGGAATATGGATATGCGTCTGTACAGTGCATGCGGCAGTCAGCGCTGCCCAGGGGTTGGGGGTCAGCTGGAGGCAACTTTACTGGAGAACTAAAAGGAAATTGTTCCTGTTGAGGGAGAGAAGTCCAGCCACTTTTCGGATTCGCCTTTTACGTAACTCAAGAGGATCCAAGACAGAGGAGCATTGTAATGTCTCTATGTAACAAAACCCTTTGCGGATGCTCAGGAAATATAATGGTAACACACAAGGTGCACATTTGGATTCAAACAGCGGCACACGATTTACATCGCCAATAGCCGAACTTCGTAGGATCAAAGGCACTTGGTAAAATGCAGCCATACTCAAATTACTCAAAAACTGTCTTTGAGCTGAGGTAATAAAAGCCATTTCTATTTTTAATTGACGGAGGAAGAAAATATTAAAATATAAATTATTCTTAAGCAGCTCAATTTTTTGATATTGCCAAGTCATTTTTTTCTTACACATAGCATTTCCTACTGTTGTGGTTGGTGTAACTTTTAAGATGATTTGTTCCGGGCCAGATTACAATCATTACTGTTGAAGTTTTAGTAAGAATACAGGGGAAGGCGATGCGATAACATTCAATTTACACCATATCTGATCAAATATATTGATTGCCCACTACTGTTTTTGAAATCTTTAGAAAAATGTACTGGGTACAATAAAGAAATCGAGAAATCTGTATGACGTTTGATTTAAGGCACAATATAACACATACACACACACACAAGACTATGAGACTCTCTCTATCCTGTTCTACTGATAAATAACTATTTAATTCATTGAAGGATTTACAGTAACTTCACAAGACCTAGGACGGGCAACAGATTGCATTTACTTTATACAGTAACTATATTCCATTAGTTTATCGATTTGAGCACAATATAGTTTCTAGAGAGAGAATCTTGTGAAAACAGGCTACAATTGAAATCTTTGCACCACTGCTGACGAGAGAGAGACTGTTGCAATCCCCGAGATAGAGGGGCTTTGCAGCTGTTCAACACCCCTCTTGGACGATCTATACAGTAAACTTTCCCAAGCACTCATGAAAACAACATTGTTTGCTTTTGTGCTTTTTCTTCGATTTTCCAAGGAGCCAAAAAACAAAGTCCCGAGTTCAAATGAAACCTTCCAGGAAGTCTTTCAATTAAATATTGGCTTGAGAAAGGTGATGTGAACGTGGGAGCTGTCACATGGATGGTGGGGTAACAGGAGTCCAAGAGGAGGCGAGCCTGCTGTGTGCAGAGGCATCATATTGATTCTCACTTAGCTCAGTTCCAGTTACTCCGTCGTAGAGAGGCGATCCCGACGAGGAGACGCTTACGGAATGAGCCAGAGATGTATAATGAGCTGGGGAACCCCGCAGGAACTGTGAGCTCAGACCACTGGACATACCGCCAGATTGGGACACTGGGGTGATGGTGCTGTTACTGACCGACCACAGACTCGGGTATTGGCTGCAAATGAGGGAGAGGAAAGAAAAGAGAGAGGTTCAGATACTTGAAGGAGAAACTTGTGTTAGTGTCTGGTAAAATCCAAACCAGACGCATTATACAGTATTTACAATGATTACTTTACATCTGTCTTACAATCAAGTATAAATGCCCTCGACATGTTCGGAATTTCATTGATATTGAGATTTATTAACAGACCATGTGTTCCAAAAGTTGATGTGTTGCATAAAACTTTCGCTCGTCTTTTTAATACCCAAACTGAAATAGCAAGAAATCTTTATATATTGTGATTAAAAAGAATGAAACCCAACAAACAGTTAAGCAGCATTAGGAGAATCTAATCTTTAACCTGGGAAAGTTCCAGCAGATGAGGTTACTGCGTAAGTGGATTTCATTAAGTTGCAAACATAGATTTGAATTAAGACAGTGCACCTCTCTGTGCCAGTGCACCTCTCTGTGCCCATATCAACAGATATCTTACTGTCGTCCCTTCAACCCCAGAAAACACGGCAGTTCTGTAAGATTTTATGGCTGCTGTAGATTTGCTCCTATGACATTTTGGAAAATGGTAGCATATCACATACGTAACCAATTTCTGGCAGGAGTTAAACCATCGGTGCATATAGACCAGCAATCATCGACTATAGCTTGGGAGTAAACCTAGCTCATTTCATAGAATTCTTTAACCTGACTTAGTTCTCCTCTCTCCTCTCCACCCATCCATCTCCCCATTTCTCCTTCCCTCTCCCATCCATCCATCCATCCATCCATCCATCCGTCCATCCATTCATCCATCCCATCCACCTCTCCCCTAATCTGTCTGTCGAATTGACTGTATATTTGTCCCACAAAATATACAGTCAATTTACTTTGCACTATATCCTGTGAAGCGCTTTGAGATGTCTCAAGAATGTGGTGGGGCACTGTATCAAATGCAAGGTTTATTATTATTATTATTATTATTATTATTATTATCTCCCCAATACATCTCCTCACCCCCACACACATTCCAGCCAAGTTCCCAGCACAATCACCAGCCCTGGATCAGTTGCAACTTGTCCACCCCATCCCTACCCCTCAGGGTGTGTGTGTCTCTCCCTCTGATCTCAGTCTCTGGATTGTGTTGAATGCAAGGCTGCCAAATTGTTCCCCGTTTTTCTTGTTCTCTTTGCCTCCTCCTCACTCTCACCCTCACCCACTTCTGAAAGCACCTAGAATGCCAACACTTGAGTTTCTACCTTCCTTCCGCACCCCTTCCCCTTATATAGAGAGTGAGTGGAGTCCTGTAGTGTAATGGTTAGAGCACTCGCTTCGTAAGCGAGTGGACCTGGGTTCAATTCCTAGCAGAGCGAAACCTTAGGCATGTTTCCTTACTCCACACAAACACACGTCTCGGTTTACCTAGCAGTAAATAGGAACCCCCGTGTTAGTCGATTGGTGGATCACTTCCTGGGGTAATAATTCCTTCAAAATAAATAAATAATAATAATTTGGTCACTTAATTCATCCATGACTGTTTGTGGGACACTGCTGTGCGTAATTGGCTGCCACGTTTTGCCCACAAAATATAAAGTCACTATACGTCACAGTATATACTGTGAAGCGCTTTGAGATATCTCAAAGATGTGATAAGATACTATATCAAATACAAGGATTATTATTATTATTATTATTATAAGGTTGTGTCTTCAAGTCTCAAGTAGGGACTTTTGAAATCATAATCAAGCAATGGGGTGGGGAGCGTTGCATTGTCCAGGGTGTACCTTTTTGGATGAGAGGCTGAACCAAGGTTCTGCTTAAGTGGACTTTGTAAAGGTTCCCGTGACACTATTTGAAACACGAATGGAAATTCTTCAGGTGTCCTGGCCAACAGTTACCCCGATAAAATTTGTCATTGATTTATGGCTGTTTGTGGGACATTGTTGTGCCTAGAAATGCATGTCTCACTAAACCTTGGGACACTTTTTGACATGATAAAGAACTATATCAAATGCAAGAATTATATTACTACCCATTCAGATTAAATCATTATTATGTATATATGTATTTTCCTTACTAGTGACCCTATGTAATCTTAATGGAATGAACAGTAAAAGCTTCAGTTGCTAGATAGTTGGTAGATTCTTCTATTAAACGTGAAGATAATAATAATAATCCTTGCATTTGATATAACGCTTTTCACGTTGGGAGGACATCCCAAAGCACTTCACAAAACACACTGTAAAGTCAATTGACTGTATATTTGTGGGCGAACGCAGCAGCCAATTGCGCACAGCAATGTCCCACAAACAGTCGTAGATTGAAAATGACCAATTTATTATTGTTTTTGGTTATGGAGGGATTATTATTAGGCATGTGGAGTAAGGAAACTTGCCCAAGGTTTCGCCCTGTCTGGAATTGAACTCAGGTCCACTTGCTTGCGAAGCGAGTGCTCTAACCATTGAATAGAAGTTATTTCAATTACTTATAGCCATTATTAGCAATATGGAAATAGCTCAAAGCTCCTTAGGTAATATCTGTAAAGTGTAGTGGCTGTATATTAGTCAGTAAAGGTGGTCAGAAATTGGACACAACAAGGTCCCACAAGCAGCCATGAAAGGGATGATTAATTAAGTTCTAGGATTGTTGGTAAAGCCAGAAGAAACTCCTTCCTCCCAAATTAATAGAAACAGCACAATATTATTTACTCCTGGATCAGATTAAATGAAAATGAAAGTTGAAATAGTCTGGTTATATTAAAGAAATTGATATGGTTCAATGTATGCCTAACTACAACAGTTGAGAGTTTGAAGGCAATGAATTCTCTGAATAGAATTAAAGTTATAAGGGGATGAATGTTCTCACATCTGCAAATTTAAGAATGAGAAATCTTCTGTAATATGTTTTTTTTTAACACTCAAGACTGGTAAATCCTTCAACAGACCTAGCAAGTATTCTCATCTACCTCAAATCTATAATCTTATTGCGGCAAAGGTACAATACCTGGAGCTCGTGGCAGTGCCAGTACTGTGTGACATAGGCAGCATACTGGTGTGCGTGGAGACCTGAAGGCTGGACCAATTGTCATGACTTGGAAGCATGGAGAGACAGGGCGAGGAATTATCAGGATAACCAGCTGCAAAGAAAACCACATACAGAGAAATTAGCTATCACACAATGGGCACATTATGCTGTTGGGTAAGACGAAGGGAAACAACATTATTCTACAATTGTGACTCCACAAATTATGACATAATGTGAAAACTAACCATTTCCCATTACAACTGTATGGTTACATTTAATTTTAAAGTTTGAAAACGTCTATCTGGCATATTAACTTGCAGACTCAATACAATTGCAGCTTTTTAAACTTTTCCAGATTGCTACAAAAGAAAATTAACCCGCGTTAAGATTGTATTTCTGTTGGAAATCAGTCAGCTTCAATGGATAATCAAAATGAATCATTTATCTGAAGGAAAACTGAACTTCAAACTGAAGAAAATAGCTTTAGAATTCATCTATTGGTAAGAAAATCAGACATTGTATACCATAGATCCTGATAGTGATGAAGAAATGAGTCATGTGACAGATTGCATCGTTTCATGAAGGTTAGAAATCACCATTGGTTTGAATTAATATGTTTAACAATAAACCTGCCCGTCTCAGGAAAAACAATATTGGAATTGTTGGATTGATGTGGGTCAAATGTAATCCGATCAATTGCAATTAATAATCAGAACAGTTATATTTGTTTATTAATTTTGATACAAAGTCATCAGATCACAGGGATGCTGAGCCCATTTTTAATCTCACAAACCTTTTTTTTTACTATTTTAGCCTTAAAAATCATTGTTGTAAAATTAAGTATCTAGCAGCATTTTGGAAAATCCTTAAATTCATTCCTAATATGATGGAATAAAATGAAGGCAACACTCTTAGTCAATGGAAATGTCGGAGCTCAGATTTGCATACTTCTTGAGAAACGATGTAATGAAGTCTTCTGTGTACATTGCTGCAACAAAAAGGCATATTACCTCCTTTGATATCCGAGACCATTCTTACATTTCCATTGAGGCTGGTGAGCAAACTGAGTGCTCTCTTGCCTCCCCATTAAAGTTTGCACTGAGAAATACTGCATCCAGAATATATTAGTTGAACCGAGGTATTTTTGCAGCATTAATGAACTTACTTGGGGAGTTGTTTCTGTGTGTGTAGGGGTTGGGGTAAGGAGCAGGTCGGTGATTCCTGAGGGTGGAGTAACGCTCACAGCCGTGGGGAGTGGAGAGAGAGAGAGGCCCTCCAAATTGAGGATGCGGATTAGAAGGAGGACACAGGGCTCCAGTGCCTGGGAGAAACCAGCCACCTACTGAAGCAAAAATAAACACAATATACAGCACCTGGTCATTGGAGAGGAAACACAGTGCGATACAATCAGGTGCGGTGGTACAATGCAAAGTCTACTGAAAAACTTACATTGCGAATATCCAGATTGTTGATTGTCACCCACTTCGTCCAGCATTTCCTTGTGATCGCTTCTGGAGGGGGGAAAAAAAAAGGTTATGAATACAAAGCACACAGTCATTTCTAGGTCTGGTGTCAAACTGGAGCACATATGCAATTATTTAAAAAACGGCAACAATCTCACCTTTCTTTGGAATCAAGGAAGGCTTTCGCAAATGGGTTGTATTTAATTTTAAGGGCTGTGATCTGTAAACCAAAGGCAAGCATTAAGTCTCGAATTTCTGTTCCAGTGCTACTTTAGATTAATCGATTCACTTTTAACTGATTTTAGGGTATTATTAGATTTTTTTTAAAAAAAGTTGACTATGCTCATCATAAAAATTGCAAGTATTTTAATATATAATGTGTTGGAATGCGCAAACCTTGATTGATATGGCATTTGATCAGTGGTACTCTCGGTAGCTATCGACAACAACAACTTGCATTTATATCGAGGATCGTCTCGGAGAATTTTCTAATTTCTATTATGGTCAAAAGTCACAACATGTTTCTCCAGTATCCTGAGCGGTACAGTCTCACAGTACAGACCCTGCGCTCTCACCTCTTCATTCTGGTAAGCTGTCACTGCTATGAACTGAGTCTCCGGGAACGAGTGACTGCTGATCATCCTCTGCGGCCCTCCAACACGCACTATGTGGATTCTGGGCTCGTATTTATGCAGGGAATTCAACATTATCTGCGAATTAACATTTAAAACAAATGAGGTCAGCCTATGCATTTGAGGTTATCCACGACTGTAAGGTAGATCCACGTTCTCACAACTCGCACTATTCCTGGTTAGTGTCCGGGAAAAAACCAAAAAGCACAATAAACATATGAACGTACTGTGCACAATTTGTTACACAGATCAGACGGAGTGCAATGAGCACTGTCTGCCTCTGTGAAATGTTGAAAACATCGTCATTATCGAATACTTCTATATTCAAATGAACAGCACAAATCAATCACTTAAAATGACCCGAGAAAGGGTATTATCGAGATGTTGTCTTTTTTTAAAAAAAACTTGTGTTGATGGTTGAACTGCGGATTTCCCTCCCATTTACTGGAGGAGATTTCATACACACTTCTTTGCTTTTTACTCACTAAGAAGCTGCTCTCTTCTTCAGCAAATAGTTTTATATCACTTGGAAACTGGCGAGTTCCTCTCACTCATGAAGCAACCTGTTTCCAGAAAATTTCGACGTGACACAGTTTTATTTTTCCTGCACCGTTTTACCACGTTAGAAAAATAAATACGTTTTAAAGTGACCTTTCATCAAATTCTACATCGAGCGATTCATTTATTAGAAACCCAGCGGCTTATTATATGGCTCTAGAGATTGAAGAATGTTTCTAAATCAGAAGTGAGCGATTACAGTTTTTAAAACCTTAACGTATAAATTCTTTGGCAATCCGACTTCCTCGACGTGTGAAATCCTGACAACGAGGTGCCCTTTGGCATCAATTCCCAATTATTTCGCTTTAAGAAAAAAAAACAAATGCTTACAAACACTGTAAATAGCGGTAACATTGGACGATTTCCTATCCTCCACATAACACCTCTATGAATAACCCGGTGTGAGTTAACCGTTTCCACCCGATCGCATGTACCGAGGGGGTGGGGGGGGGGGGGGGGGGGGTGAGCCTCGCAAATTAACACGCTACCAAGAGCGAGGAGGTGAGAGCTGTTACCTGTCCTCCTCCGTTAAGTTTGTTGGTGAGTTTGACTTTGCTGAAGGAGACGGGCACTTTCATCCAGTGGGCTCCGAAGTTGGGTGAGTCCGGATGGATGTAGACGCAGCTGGGAGCCTGGGGCTCGGGTTTCCCCCCCGGAACCCACTCCCCGTTCACGTATTTCCAGCGGTGATTATCGGCAGCCACAAAATCCAAAACGAATGAGTACATGGCGTTGGGATCCAGCCCCGACACGTTCACCTTCAGCACGGGAAACATCCTCCTGAACACAGCAAAAGCACGCAACTCAAATCAACAAGGGCAGCACACTGCCAACCGTTCAGAAACTCTCTACACAACTGCATTTTTGTTTAAAGAAAAAGGTCAGGATAAGGATATGTGTTTTATATAGTACCGCATTGTCCATGTGGTCACTGACATGAAATATATTGTTGCAAAAAAAAAGTCCTATTTATAACACGACCAAGATTATAAGAGACTCGATTTAATTTGCATTACACACGTTTGTTTTAACCTGCATTATATATATATATTAATATATAATTCTCTCTCTATATACACACACACCAATAAGTCCTATCAGTACGGTGTTTCACTCATCCAAAGAGTTTAAGAAGTTTCATCTCCTTGTTCTCAAAGGTGCCGATGCAATCAGATTGACCTCACTGTCCTGTCCGCCTGCCCACACCTACCTGCCATTCTTTGTCACTATCATCTCGTTGGTCAGTTCCTTAAACTTCAGCCACAAGTCCACGTCCTCCAGGTTGACTTTCAGCTCCCTCTCCGTGGGGTCCCCTTTCTCACTCCCGGCCTGCAACTCATTCTCCACCGCACTCAGAAGGTGATCCACCCGGTACTGGCCGCTCTTCCCACTCTCGGTCCCAGTGGAAGTCATTGTCCTGATCCAGAGAAGTCAAAGATTGTTCCCAATTGATTCCTTTGCAACACGAGGTCCCTCCCTATAATCCCAGTTACACTCTGAATGTCATCTCGCTCTCTCCACCCCAATAAATACAATTCATTCCGGGCCCTGACGTCGGTTTGGGAGGGTGTGGATTGGATGGGTGACTGCTTTGATCTGAATAGTTCCAGTTGCCATTGGTCAGGGGCGGCCATATCAGTCAGGCTGGTGAAAACCTCTGAAGTTTCATCCAAATGTAATTGCTTGAAGTTAAAGAGAGCTGTTTTATGCAAATCTGCACATGTTTACACCTTCATCAAAGCACAGGGCTCCACGAGGAAATGGCTTTTGGGAATCTACCAGCCAGAGTCCTCTTAAATGTATGATTTGTTTTGCTGTACTATTTTTTCACCCTTATCAAGATACACTATGCGAACGAGCACCGGATATTTAAAATGTAGGCAAAGACAAGTACAATTTCAGATCGCCGCTTCTTTGTGTACTAATTGATGCAATAAATGCTCGTATTGATCCTATGGGATTATTTGGGAATTCTTATTTGCACCATCTATTGTGACTGACCATACATTAGCCCCAACAGGTTGTTCAATCGACAAGAGGGATATGGTGGATGGATATTCCATTTTATACTGAGAAATATAATTGACCCGTGTCCCTTTTCCCTTTGTAACCAAAGAACCATGTTATCCAGTGGTATACAGGCTATGGATAGTTGCCACCCTGCTATGTACCTGGAAAATTGTAACTGGACACTGGACAGATAGAGGTAATCAGGCTGAGGGACGCTTTCTTATGGCCTGTGAGAGAATCTCCAGTCTTTTTGTCTGAAAGTACAGTAGCACTTGGCCAGAGCCCAGAGTTTATTACTGTTCTGTGAGAAAGATACATTCAGGAGCTGAGGTTGACAATGAGCAGGAAATAGTTAAATAGGACCGTTAATCGTCCTGCTCCTGGAACAATACTATGTGAAATGACCTACACAGGGCAGCAAAGCACTCATGAAACATTGGGCTACAATAATTTTGAAATAAATATCTATCCATATATTTTTTTTACTTTGATTGCACGAAGCGCCGCTGGATTTGAAATGTATTAAATTATGTATTTAAAGTTCTACGGGTTTTGCTTTGGTAGAGAGTTCGGACCTCTGTGCATGTTCATATCTCGGAAATGCGTCGATCAGATGTTTTATTAATGTCCCTCATAAGATACGATACTTGAAGATGAGAGTGTGGAGTTCGAAAGGAAACACAAATTTGCGTCAATCGACTGTTGAGTTAAGTGCAAACCAATGGGACAGCGGGTTTAGTTAACAGAACCCTGAAAAATGCGAGGAAAATAGTCTCAGCTCCTTTACAAATTAACGATGAAGGGAAAAGAGAGAAAAAGTTAGAAGAGATATAAGGCATCAAATGAAAGCTGTTCATTGTGGAAGGTGTCTGAGGATGCCCCTCGGGTATAAAACCCAGAGTCTCTTTCTATTCACCAGCAAAAGGGGAAGCAATTTGTTTTCTGGGTCTGAGGGTAATTGCAGGCTGGTTCTCATGATAGAGCACCGCAAGAGTAGCTATAGACCTTTTCACTTTGAGCCGCAGTGCATGACAGTTTACAGCCAAAAACTTCCTTCGGCTCTGAGTACACCGCTATAAACAGTGACACAATATAGAGCTAAAAGAAACACGCTTTAACTCTGAACTTTATAATTCATTCTCACACCCAACCTGACCTTTAACAATGAATTAAAATAGTTCCAGCATTGGACTGTAATGAGTTTTTTTTTCCCCATCCCACATTAATGAAGTACACTGGAGGCATTTGATATTTATTTTCCCCCCTCAACGTTTACATGTAACCAGCGACGATGAATCGTTTCTTGATTTCAGATTTTAAATGATTGAAAAAAATCATAGTCAGGTTAAATTTCACATACCAATGGTTTACACTCCACTACAATTGTACCGCACATTACATGAAATCGGAGGGTACATAATACCACACCAGATTAATCATTTACTAGTCTGAAAAGAAACCTTGTCATTATTTTAAAGGGATTTTAACTCTGAGGTATTCATACCAAAGTGACAAAAGAAATGTGCCAAGACAGTGCGTAGAATGAGAACCTGGATGGAAAATAACTGAACAGAAAATAAGATGACATTTTCTGAGGACAGAATACAAAGACACCAAGTCGGTTTATTGTGAAAATGATATTTTTTTTAATTCAATCTTAATATCGCCGCACAATAGCGAGTTGCGTTGCGAACGACACAATAACTTTGGAGAGCAATACTGCAAACTGCTTTGCCAAGACAGTTTTCACTGTTTTCACTTTAATTGCTATTTCACTCTAGTTGCACCCCCCCCCCCCCCACAATAATCCGTCCCTCCCCCAGCAAATAACATTACTGAAATTTGGGAACGGATATCCAGAACAAATATAATTTTACCTACATTCAGTAACTCTTTCAATTTCTTCAACTCGTGTGCGGGACATTTGCTGGAAGGATTCTTAATGTGACTGGTGAGAGCTGGAGGGGGCAGGTTTAGAGAGAGTTAAACATCCTACAGCATAACCTGACCACCCCCCCAGCAACACGCTCATCGCCAAATAGATAACGTTACCAATTGCCAATGTGGTACTGTATTCAAGACACCGTACGTTTAAACATTTAACATAAAACGACGTTGGCCCAATAATCAGTCACGAAGGAAACGAAATCTTGGACGGTCGAAACATAGAATTGCACGACTCTTATGCACGAGTAGCACACTGTGCAATATGAGAACATATTTCACCTTAAAGAATGACATTTCAACAGGCGGTCCTGCAAAATAGAAAATCTTTGATCTGAAGAAGAAACTTGGAAATGTGCTTTGCTGCTATCGTGCTTTAGTGGCAAGTTCAGCTTTGAAATTCGAGGCAGCAAAGAGACCATATAAAGTATATTTGAATGCTCGAATAAGCGGCCTTTTTGTTGCATCTTTTTTTTGTGACATATTTGGCATCTTGTGTTTGAACTCTTGGGGAAAGTTCTTGAGTGTAAACGACTCTGCCTGACTCCTTTGAAATGGTAGAATAAATTCTCTCTTTAATTGGATTAAGGAAAAAAAGTGACACGTTTTCATTCTTGCTCATTCGGAAACCACCACAGTATTTATTCCCCAAGGGTGAGAAATCCGAGGTGTTCGCTTCCTATTTTTATGTTAAATTGGGACCAAAAGTAAAACATATTCCCGGGTGTAATTTGCGGTGCATCTGGATTTCTTAATAGGAATGGCTTCGATATATTTTAAAATAAATCAGGATGTTGCAGATTATTAACAGGGAGAATTCAACAGCGAAGAAGTTTTATATAATCCATATTTGTGTCATCGGTTCTCTTGCTCACAACAAATAACGTCTTGTATTCAAATACATTTCCTTATATATATATATATGTTGGGTAATTGTTCAGGAGGTTTGTTCACCAAATTCAATGATATAAACCTAAAATAAAAAACACCACTGTTTGTTTTGTTGTGGAGAGATGGGACAAAATCCTAGTCAAGCAAATGCTTTAGAGAACAGCAGACTGCAGATTTATTTCAACGCTATTTAGGGTATATGATACATCCCCAAGATACCATAGAGAAGTAAAGTTTATCTGTGCTCAGGTGAGGCAATATTGCAATAGTTGGAGGGGTGCTCAGTATAAAATAGAGGTAGAAACTTTAAACCTTCTGGTGTTATTGAATACATGTTATCCCTTTAATCATCATCATGGTAAACTAAACTGTTTGTTTATTTTTAATAAAACATTCACCAAGTAAAGAAAATTATACATATTTATTCCACTGGTATGGGATGTAAAGTGATAATTTTCTCATGTTTCAGTAAGCTTTTATGTCTATAATTTATTTATTATGGATACAAGGAGCTCCCACCCCACTTCTCCCTTTCTCTTATCTCTTGAGTGATAATAATAATAATCATCATCCTTGCATGTGAAATACCATCTTATCACGTCATTTGAGGTATCTCAAATCGCTTCACAAAATATACTGTAAAGTGGATTGACTGTATATTTTGTGGGCGAAACACCGCAGCCAATTGCAATGGTTTATATTGGAACATAGTTCCGCTCCAGTAGCCATCCAGTATTTCATTCAATTGGTGATTCTTCATGAATGAGTTTAGAGTCAACATTTTACAGGCAAACGTTTATTACTCAAACTGCTGACAATCTCACATTCTGTCATTGTTAAAATACATTCACATATGTTCAATATTCTTCACTGAGTTTAGCAGCTAAGAATCCAAGGGGATTAAATATAATTTTAGATGATTTTACATAAGAATATTTTCCTCAAAATGTCTCACATTGCGCAACATCTTCACTGATCAAGGATTTTGTTTAATAGGATTTACTGCAAAGTGTAGGTGATATTACAGACAAATTGCACTTAGCAATGTCCTTCACAGGACACTGTGATGGCAAGGACACTGAGAGAAACTTCCCTTCTCTTTTCAAGTAATGCCATTGCGTCTTTAACATCCACCCGAACAGGCAGACTGGGCCTTGGTGAACATCTCAGTCATAGGACAACTCCTCAAGAATGCAGTGCTTGCCCAGCACAAGCTCTGGAGTGTCAGCCTAAGCTATGTGTTCAACCATCCAATGTGGGAGTATGAGTACCAATAATTATTGCTACTCCAATAATAATTGTGACTCAGAGAAGAGTGCTACTAATAATAATATTGGCAGCACTCTTGTCTAATTATTATTATTATTATTATTATTATTATTATTATTATTACCAGGTGAGCCTGTTCAAACTAATGTTCCGGGCTCTACTCATTCAACTTTTGCAGGCCTGTGAAAATAGGATTGCTGAGACAAAGCTGAAGCAAAATCCATTGCACTGTCTGTTTCTCTCTCTTTCTTTCTTCTCTCCCTGCCCCCAACCTTTTCAGCAGAGCCACTTTCCTTTATTAGAGTTAGACTTGTTTAGCTGCATTGCTCTGCTGGGTTGGCATTTGCTACCAAGTGGAATAT